TCGATGTGACCCTGAGGCAAAAGCTGTTTAGTTTTTTTTTCTGCATAACTTAGTTTTTTGGGGGATCTTTTGGATTTATTCTTTCGTAGTGACCTCCCCTGACCCTTGCGTGCCCGGGCTTCCGGGCAACCAAGGTAAGCTAGGCGGCCCGGCTGGTACCCGAGCAAACTGGTGTGTCTTTTCACTTTTTTTTTCCCATCTTTTCCTCACTGCAAGGAAAATGAGCAAGAGCGATAGACAGAAATCCAAATTGCAACATCACATTGAAGACCAGAGTGTCGTGTACCAAGCATAAAGCAGCATGCACCGAGATACAGGCCAAACAAGAGCAATACAACGAACTCAAATGTCAATGTCAGCCCCAACTGTTCACTATCAACGATGTATCAATGTCGCTCTTCTCTATTGGCCCTCGGCGCCCAGTCTACCATTTCTCAGCACCTATACTAGCCTACTCTAGGAACTCGCAACCAGGAAACACCCCAGCCGAAGACCGATGTGCATGACAATGTCACCCATGCAGACCACCGCATACACATCAGGTATGTGTCTCTTCTCCCTCTCCCTCACAACCCTCGACCCCCACAGTCAGTGTCTCCCCTTCCGTCACCAGCACCATGCATGAGCAGCCTGGCTATGGGTGCCGTGCGACGCTATGTCCAGCAGCGTTTCCACGTCGCGCCCGTGTCGTGCCCTCGCTCCACTAGTTGACCTCCAGCGGTCGGTGCAGCAGCGCTGCCATGAGGTCGACTCCCGACTGAATGTCTGGAGTGCTCGCCGCGCTTTCCTTTGTGGAAAGAGCTCGGCCTTGCGGGTTCCCTTGAGCCTCACGTTGGGACCCGGTATCTGAAAATCGACTGGGCCCGACAGTTGCAGCGACCCAGGTGTGTGACATGGCGCACAGTGTTTGCTGCCCTCTCATTGGACGAGAGCCAGCGTGCGACGTGTCGCCCGTACGGGCCTAGTGGGTACCCCAGGGCCTGGTCACACTTGCACTATAGCGCAGGTCACATCCAGGGCCCGGGGGCTTGAGGAAAGCCCTTCCGCAGGACCCCGCCAAGTCAAAGGGGTCATGGGTCAACTGGTAGACCCAGGTGAGGGGTCAAAATCCTCGCATCGCTGCGACCAGTAGGCCGGAATGGTTTTGACAAACGGCACTGCCATTCCTCCAAATTTCCAAGCGGCCGCTCAACAAAATAGGCCTCCTGTGTGTTTGCGCCTGTGGATTGGTACTCAACAAAATAGGCTTGGGAGGACGCTGTCATCTGTGTGTGTGTGTGTGTGTGTGTGTGTGTGTGTGTGTGTGTGTGTGTGTGTGTGTGTGTGTGTGTGTTTCTACCCCCAGAGGAAGAAGAGGAGCAGAATTATGAAAACATCAACAAAAACGGAAGCAGAAAAAAAATGCACGTGACAGTGCCACCACTGCCACGTGTGCTGCCACGTGCCGCTCCCAACACCTCTCTCTCTCTCTCTCTCGCCCCATTTTATCTATGTAACTTGAATACAGGCTTCGGTGGCTTGTGTGACTGACCTGCTGTCTTTTCATTGCTACCTGGCCCTTTGATATGATAGCTAGTTTACATATATTCCTTATATTCCTTATGGGATTTGAACGAGATGTTGTGGATTTGGGGGTTGCTGTCCGGCAGAGACTTCCACGGGCCACTGAGGCCTGGAAAGGAAAAGCCTGTGTTCTCCATAGGACCATATGTGATGTCTGACATCAATCATAACTCTGCTCCCTATGTTGCCCCCAGTGTTTTTATGTTTGGGCGATCGAGAATTCCAACCAACTTGTTTTTCCTGTTTTGCGCTGAATGAATCTGGCTGCAGTCTCAGCGAGATGCGGCTATGGGAAAATTAAGAAAAAAAAGGAGAGTTTGAGCGTCGCTTTCCACGTTCCTTGAGCCTTCACTGGCTGTGAAAAATAGCCTGCGTCCTCTTGCGTTCTTCTTCTTCTTCTTCTTCTTCTTCTTCTTTTGAAGATCAGTTGTCCTTATTCTAGTTTCCTTTGTGTTTGGGAGGATGGAAAAATGTCGCCTTTGGATCATACTTGCAGCACACCTGTGCAGTGTGCTGTGTGGTGTACGGTGATAGACCAACAATAAAGAGGTGAAAATTGTGGGAAAGTGCCCCTCAAAGATGAGGTATTTCTTGAGTGCCCCTCAAATTTGTGGGATGCTCCTCAAAGATCGGGTATTCCAACCGTATTTGGTGAATGCCCTTTTGATGTGTGACCATTACCGTGGGCCCCACCCAACTTCGGGCCGTGGGCCTCACTGTCCAACAGTTGGCCCTGCAATACGCCATTTGCAGGCCACCGTAGTACCTGGAAGGCATCTTCTCCACCTGCCCACAGCTCCAACGCAGGTAAGTTGCATGCCGCACTCCGTGCTCCTTGCCTGCCC